ATTTTAAGTTACTTATCAATGTACTGTAGATGCTTTTTGGTCTCTGACAGCTGAATGGAAAAGGGATTAAGAGAGTGGATCTTGTCCCTGTTTCTGACAAGTTAAGTATTTTACAATCAAAAGTGCCTTTTATTCCCAATGATAAGGGTGGCTGACAGTCTTTAGAAAGCTGGTTTAAAGGCTGAATTATACCAATGCAAAAGAAACAGACTCCATCTCTGCTGTATTTGACCTGATTTAGAGTCTTATGCTACGTTCCGACTGCAAGCGCTGGGGAAAAAAAGCAAAAAAGCTTCTGCTGCTTTATTTTTAATGCTCGTCCACATTAAGGTCCCAGTAAATTGTGTCCAGATGCTTCTGCTGCTCCTGTGTTCAATGCCAGAGAGCAGCTTTGATATATTTGCTGTGATCAGCGGGTAAAAAGTAGTTTGAATCTATTTTGAAGTGAGAAAGTCCTCCTGAAAACATGGTCTTGTCAGGATTGGGTTGAGGTTTGTGGACCCAAATGCAGAGGCAGGGAGGCAGAGGTGAGTTTTTTTGTAGATTTAATGCGAGGTAAACAAACAACTAAGGCAGAAATCCAAAAATCTAAAAAATGCAACAAGAAAAAAGTTAAATAAACCAGAAAGCATGGAAACATCAGGGGAAAACAATCATGACGAGTTAAGACACTGTAAGGCGGTGTAGGTCGAAGTTTGACGAGGAACCGGCACTGAGGAACTGCACAAAGAGTGTATTTATGGGAGACTAAACAAAGAGAGGAAAACGAGCAGATTGGGAGCAGGTGTTAACAGAGCAGACAGGAAAGGAGCTAGGGAAAAAGGAGAACACAAGAGGGCAGCAGAGGGCAACAAATAAAAACCTGAAGACTGAAAAATAACCAGAGAACACAGCAAAATAAGAATTAAACCACTAAAACTAGAAAACATGGAGCAAAGTAAGACTGAATACTCAAAAGAAAACAAATCAGAATCCATTCTGTGACAGGTCTGTGCAGTCAGTTCATCCAGATTACCATCCTGCCTTCAAAGATTATTTCTCTGTGGGAGCCGCTCAGACCCCCACATACCGGCGCTGCGCTGTCACTGGGAATCCCCAGCAGCAGCTGCCTCAGGCCCGCTCGCCTCTTGGGGGTTTTCCCCTCCTGTTGGTGGCGGCTGGAAGTAGATGTTAGCGTTTTTCAGGTCTGTGCTACAAACTGCAGGCAGCAGGATAATAAAAGCCAACATATTCTGCCGGCAGGTTTCTACATTTGAAGTTAATTTAGGCGTTAATAAACTGTTTCAGAGGAGTGATGATAGCGCTCTGCATCAGCAGTGCTGTGTCTGACTCCCTGCCAGCTCCCAGATCAGCTTCTCTGATTGGTTGATGTCCAGCAGCTAAAGTTCCATTTTTTCCAACTCCACTTTTTCCAACGCTGCTGCTTTTGCAGCTCATTGTGCGTGTCAGATACCCAGAAGCTCATGAGATGCTGCACCTGCTGCTGAAGACAAGCTGCAGGACCTTTTGCTTTTTTGTCCACAACTTTTAGAATGTCAATCTGATTTAGTAGTAAATATTGACAAGGTCAGACTAGGCTAAAATCGTTCCTTTTGATAAAACTTATAGTTAGAGTGGCTCAGGTTATCCTGAGCTATCTCGAAAGTTATGCTGCTATAAACTTAGGCTGCTGGAGGACCAAAGGTACACTTTTCAACATTCTTTTTGATTCTACTTTTATTCCATAATCCCAAAATATTGCGTAGTTTGACATGCATTTTCTCTTTTTCATAAATTCTTATTACCTCAGAACCTCTAGGATCCAAACTCTATGCCCTAAGTAGTTAGGGCATAGAGTTTGGAATCCTGAGGTTGTGACTTGGAGCCCCACTCCAACAGACTGCCACTCTGGGTCTCTGAGCAAGACCCTTAACCCCACACTGCTCCCCTGGCACCGCACAATGGCAGCCCACTGCTCCCCAAGGGGAGGGGCTAAATGCAGAGAATGAATTTTGTTGCGCTGTACTCGTGACAGTGTAATGACAATACAACGCTGAAAAAAAAAAACTAGGCCGCCTAAAAACAAATGTTCCTTTTACAATTAAACTATTCTGCCCAGCAAACTTAATACAGCACAGAACCCAGTAAAGTGTCAGAGTCTTGGTTTGTTAGTTCCTGTTTTTCTTGGTTTTCCATTTGTTGTCCTCTGCTGCCCTCTTGTGTCCTCTTTCCCTTGCTCTGTTTTCTGTTCTGCCTTCACCTGTTTTCAATTCCCTCGATAGCCCTCTCTTTGTCTCTGCCCCCTTTAAAAGCCCTACCTCTTCAGTTCCTGTTTGCTGGATCCTCGTCTAACATCTGTCTGCCTTCCTCGTCTCTCCCTGGCTCCTAGAGTTTTTGGTTTACCCCTGATGTCTCCTTGGTTCTGGTACGTTTGTTATTTTCTGTTGGATTTTGATTCCTGCCCTTGTTCCTGTGAACCTTAATAAACCCACTTAAATTCACCTCTGCCTACTGGTCTCTGCATTTGGGTCCTCCAAACAAACACCGCTTCTTGACATAAAGCAATGATTAAAAAAAAAGCAGATTTAATCAACTTATAACTAAGAAAAAGTGATGAAACTTTAAATGAGGATCGAATTCTGTACATGAGGATTGTTAACCACAAACTGTGATTTATAATCTAACATTTATGGTACATGTAGAGAAATTGGATTTCTTGTTGTAAAAAGCTTTACCAGAATGAGATCATCTGCTTTTCCCATCATTCGTCAAGCGATGACATCACGCCAAAAACTGAAGTCACTAAGAAGAAAAAACAGATTATAATCTGGAATCAGGACTCTATAGGATTGTGTGATTCTTCATCGGAATCCTCAACTTTTGTATTTAGCATTATTACTGTTAATAATTAATCACTAACAGGGGTGGATTTAGGAAATTTAGGGCCCTAGGCAAAGACAGGCAGGGGCCCCTCTGAACTGAGAAGACAACAGATAAATCAGCCCCATTCTCCAGATAGAGAAATGTTAATAGAATAGACATCCATTATCTGTTCTAGGTTGTGTCCCTCTCTTCTTGTCCCTTTTCTTCTTGTTTTCCTCTCTATGTTTTGTACTCAGCTGACTTTTCATGCTGTCTCTAAAGGAATGAAAGATTTTTTCCAAGCACTAAGCTCACTTAGCTGATTGCTCCTTCCTGTGTTTCCAAAAAGGCCAAAGTAAATAACCCAGTCCTTCTTTTCACTGTAGACAAGCCATGATCTGCTTATCTGTTCTCCATTTTTCATTTGGATGAAATAATAGCTGCATGAATCATGACAGCAGACAAGATAGAGGAGAGCAGGAGGCGGGGTTACCAATCTACTCGCTCTGGAGAGCAGAGTTCGCTGCTTTTAGATGTTGTCTCCAAAGTCTCCAGTAGCAGAAAAAAGTCTCTAGATTTGGCGCTAGGAGCTTTTTAGAAATCAAAGTGCTAGAGGGGTCTGAAAAGTGGCTAAATATAGCGACTAAAGCGCTAAGTTGGCAACACTGCTCTTTGCATGGTTTGTTTTCAAATGGTTTGCTGCTGTCTGTTTGGACCTTTCTGAACATGTGCAGCAGATGGACTGATCCAATATGGTGGACACTGAGGGGGGGGGCTGAGACACACTTAATATTATCAGCGTTCTGATGGCATTTTAGCATTATTAATGTGCTCAAATAAGGAATAGTTGTATTAACCACACATGTAATCTGAGTTTTATGGGGCCCCAAGTAACTTGGGGCCCTAGGCAACTGCCTACACTGGAAAAGCAATCTAGAAATAAGCAGAGATGGCAAAAGTACAGATACTTGTGTTACAAATACTCTGGTAAAAGTGGAAGTACTGATTAAACTTCTTTACTCAAGTAAAAGTAACACAGTACAGGCTTGTAAATTTACTTAAAGTATAAAAGTAAAAGTAGAAACCACTTTTTTCATGCCGTTGCCTACATTTTAAATGGATGTCTGCCAATAGGACTAGATCTCCGTTGTGTTCATTTTCAATCATCTCGTCGTCCATGCTACTATGCTAACGCCACCGCCACCAAGCTGCAATGATTTGCCGCCAATGAATACCGCCGAATCTGTCGATTCATCCTGTAGCGGTGCGTCAAATGCAACGTAGATTCCCATCCAATTAGACTGAATTTGGTATTGATGACGTGAAAAATAATAACGGTAACTCCATTGAAATGATTCAAAACTAAAGTAACGAGCCAACTTTTTAAAATGTAAGGAGTAGAAGTAAAAAGTCGCCATAAAAATAAGTAGTAAAGTAAAAATATCAGAAAAATCTACTTGAGTACAGTAACGAAGTATTTGTACTTCGTTACTTCCCATCTCTGGAAATAAGTAAACATTTACTAAATTTAGTTTATTAACCCTTAATTTGAGTAGGTAAATGAGATAGTTTGCCAATGGAATTAGTATTTTTACTCTTGAAATAAGATAATGCGATTGTGTTTTCTTTTTTTTGAGTGTAAACTGTCTCGTTCCATTGGCAAAATGTCTGTTTTATCTCCTCAATTCAAGAACTAAACAAATGCACTTATTTAAGAAATAAATTACATTAAAAAAGAAATGCCTAATGGTAAATCTGCCCTGATCAAATAATCAGATAAATGTTTTTGAACATAGTTAGTGTCCTTTCTGCGCTTCAAACTCTGGACTCCTTAGTTTATCTATTATTAGTTATTATTTGACTTTGTTCTGATTGTTTCTGTGTAATCCATATTCTTTTTATTATTGTGTAATAGATAAAATAAATGGTGGCAGACACACTCCTCCATCACTCTGCGCTCCAGGACGCGCACCGTGAGCGCGCTTACATGAGAGGTCCCTTTAAGTTTGCGCTGAGTGCGGCTCGCTGTGTCACATGGACGTGATCTAATGAAGAGGCAGCAGCGCAGAGCCGGAGCGCAGCAACTTCCCAGCTGATGGGGAGCGGGGCGGAAATGCACGCAGCCAAATCCGCTGTCACCGGGCCGAACCGAGCCGAGCCGAGCCGGATGGGACTGCACCTGCCAGCCGTTTGGCACGCAGTGAAAACCAGAGAGAGGCCCGGGAAGGAGGGGCAGCCCTCAGCGGGACTCAAGTTATTTGCTCTGCGTGTCGTTGCGCAGGTGTGTTTGAGCGCTTCCACCCCGCAGCAGCTGCGGGGACAACCCGCATCTGTCCCCTCCCACCACCTTTTTTTTTTTATTTGGTGCGGTTTCCAGGGAAAATGTCCCGCCATCCTGCGGGATAAGAGCTTCCAGCCTCTGGTCTTCCACCGCATCAGTGTGCGTTCCCGCAGACTCCGCGGTCGCCACTGTCCGCATTCCAGGTGGTGTTGCGCAGATAGAAATTGAACTTGGAGTAAACAACCTGGGGGGGTGGGGGGTGCTCTGAGGCGACGCTTCTGGCCGGACTGGAAACATCCTGCTGCTGATGACTGATAAACAGCGCGAGCGCAGAGAAACTACCTGCTTCCAGGTAAATGATGATGATTGGCTGGTTTTCCTACTCTATGATTATTATTTACTGAATCACTGCAACTTCTATTATAGACGTTCACTGCTTTTAATCAGAGCAATAAAGGAGCTTAAAGTTTAAATGGACTTAATAATGAAATAAAACTAGGAAAATGATGAATGTCCTGCAGACTGCAGGCCTGTCCGGAGATGGAACCCGGGGCCAAAGGGCCCCTGACGGAGTAAAATAAGATAGGATGGATGGCTCCAGGTCAGTGGCGGTTCTAGACCAAATGTACCCAGGGGCCAGTTGGGGGCCAGGGTGTTCATGGGGGCCCAGAAAATCATGACATAAAAATCAGAGCAAGGGGTTCAAATATATTAAGATAGCTGCAATTTCTATTCAATTAGGTTTAATTACAATTCTATGTCTTATTAGGTCAATGTACATTAAGAATAGGAATGCACGATATAATCGGCCCCCTATCGGTATCGGCCTTAAAACTGAATATCGGACATCGGCCCCCCCACCGATATTTAACCCAATATTTGATCAGCTTCTGAGTTTCTAAAGTCTACAAAAAACAAAAATAATAATAAAAATACTACTTCTTCTTCCTCAAAAACTTCTTTTTTACAGACTTAAAAACTTCTAAAGACGAGGGAAAAAATATTGATCCATTAAAATATCCCAATATCTTCATATGCTGATATATTGCCATTTAAAAACACCATATCAATCTCTTTTACTAATGAAACATTGCTATATGTCATCGTCATGCTACGAAATCCCCCGAAAATTCACCAAATGTTGCCATATTTTTATATGTTGATATATTGACGCGGTATCGATCTATTTTACTAACAAAATCTCACAAGAATTTGCAAAATATCACGAGAGTTTGTAACAGAACGATGAAATTTCACGAGATTTTGAAAGTAAAATAGATCGATACCGCGTTTTTAACAATCTATTTGATATCAGCGTATGAAAATATATTTGAGTTTATTATTTTTCAAAGTGTCAGAAATGGATAACAAAACTGCTATTTTCAATGACTACTTATTTTTGTCCAGCTTTAACATCGGTATCGATATCGGTTATCGGCTACATGAGTTTTTAAATATCGGCATATCGGATATCGGCCAAAATCCCAATATCGTGCATCCCTAGTTAAGAATTTAGGAATTTTATATGTTTTTGACTTAATTGAAGTTAAAATGACAGTTTTCTATAAAATCTGAATTGGAACCCAAGAAAAACTAATGAATTCAGCTGTTTTTAAAATTTATAAAAAAAAAAAAAAAACATTTAACAGATGGAAACTGGGATCCTATCTCAATACAACTGAAGCTTTCACCTTATTGGTTTTAAATAATTAGTATAAGAAAATTTGTAACAAAAAAAGAAGAAAAAAGAAGTAGATCTAAAGGACCCATCAGTAGCCATCTGTTCCAGCGTAGATCATCATTAGAATTTCTTTTAATTATGTCTTCAGTACAGGGGCCATAACGGGGGCCAGGACATGACCTACAGGGGCCCTGGCCCCCGTTGACCCCTGTCTAGAACCGCCCACGATCCAAGTCATATATGTTGGTGCAATTTCATCAGAGAATATGTGTGACGTATAAAGAGTATCGTCACGATTGGGTGACGGGGGTTTGAAACAGCGGCTAACAGCCGTGTTTCTTCTTCTACATGTTGTGCGGTCCGTTCTGTACGCCCCCCACCTCTAGAGTTGGCCAAAATATTAGGTACAGGGGAAAAGCTGCATGGATTAATTAAGCTGCAGATTATTTTCAAACATGCTGCATATCTTCATTAAGGTGACCTAACGCTAAAACTGACAATTTATTCATGTTTCTTTTTCTTTAAATGTCTCAGTCAGGAATAAAATCATTTTTAATCTTAAACTTTCTCAACCAAAAATCATTCAGTTTGAAGCTAAGAAGGTAATAATATGAAAGTAAATATGTAATATAATGTAAATAAGATTTTTTTCCAAAGGTCGTGTCGGTTTTATTGCACCGAGGGTAAATATTGAACAGTTAGCCTCTGCTGAGGCCGATCAACTCAAAGTTATCTTCAAATATAAGGAAAATGTAAAAAAAAAAAAAAATAAAATCCAAGAAGTTGTTTTTATTATGCATTAAATTTTACTCTAATGTCCCCGATTGGCCTAAACTAACAAGAGTTTGATGTTGAGCTTCATCTCTTGGGTCTCTTTGGGCCTCAGCGGGAGGCCAGCTCCACTGAGGCCTGCCGCCTGCAGCCAAAGGGACGCAGAGTTAGCAGCGGGCTAATTCTGTGCGACTTTGGGGATATGATGTCAGCTCCCTGGATAGAACAGTTTATGCATGAGATAGATGCTGATCTACTAAACCAACTTGGTCTCTAGCAGGGGGTTTACTTTCATCTCCAAAAGGCAAACATGCACAGGCTTCTAGCTGAGCACCTTGCATTGCAGTTTCTCCTGCTTAGTAAGAATCTCACTGCTGCTTCAGTTCCTCCTCTTCTCTGTGCTTGGAAATCAGGCAGGAATTCAGGTTGACCAGCTGCCCGAAGCCCCTGGATTGTGTTCTGGAAGCATCCTACCCTCTCCATGATTGCTCCTGGCTTTTTATCCCTGTTAGGCTTCTGTTGGCATCTATGTCCTGAATTGGATCTGCTGATGATGAGAGGCAGCTGTTGAGGCTGAGGTTGTGTTTTTCAACCAGAAAGAGGTGGAAACCTGGGGGTTAGTCTTTGCGATGAACGAAGCTCGGTCAAAAAGACCTTCATGGGTCTGTCAGCGGTCTGACTCTCAGTCTATGGTCATCAGATAGACAGAAGATGGATATATGGATAAATGAGCTCAACTCTCAGGGTTGCCAGATTCAGGAAAAAGCTACATTCACACATGTTGGCGAGTATCTGGAATTCCTGCACGCTTCGATTCCAATCCTTTAACCTGGTACTTTTATCTTCCACCTATAGGAGGAGCCAGACTTTCCTCTATTCCTCCTTTTATCCCCCCGAAGTGCCATCAAACACCTGGTTTTCCCCACTTTTGTTCTACTCTCATCTGCACCAGGTTTCCTCCCCTGACATCTAAAGCGCATCTCTGGAAAATGCTCAGGCGTTCGCCACACTCTGGAAAGGGATGTTTTTTTACTGGACCAAAAGATCATGCTTCATTTTAAAATAAACATTTGCAGGAAAACTGTTTTGTAATTTATGTGGTCCCCCCCCCTAGGGATGCACGATATAATCGGCCCCCTATCGGTATCGGCCTTAAAACTGAATATCGGACATCGGCCACCTCACCGATATTTAACCCGATATTTGATCAGCTTCTGAGTTTCTAAAGTCTAAAAAAAATAAATAAATACTACTTCTTCTTCTTCCTCAAAAACTTCTTTTTTACAGACTTAAAAACTTCTAAAGAAGAGGGAAAAAATATTGATACATTAAAATATCCCAATATCTTCATATGCTGATATATTGCCATTTAAAAACACCATATCAATCTCTTTTACTAATGAAATATTGCTATATGTCATCGTTATGCTACGAAATCCCCCGAAAATTCACCAAATGTTGCCATATTTTTATATGTTGATATATTGACGCGGTATCGATCTATTTTACTAACAAAATCTCACAAGAATTTGCAAAATATCACGAGAGTTTGTAACAGAACGATGAAATTTCACGAGATTTTGAAAGTGAAATAGATCGATACCGTGTTTTTAAAAATCTATTTGATATCAGCATATGAAAATATATTTGAGTATATTATTTTTCAAAGTGTCAGAAATGGATAACAAAACTGCTATTTTCAATGACTACTTATTTTTGTCCAGCTTTAACATCGGTATCGATATCGGTTATCGGCTACATGAGTTTTAAAATATCGGCATATCGGATATCGGCCAAAATCCCAATATCGTGCATCGCTAACCCCCCCTCCTCCCCTCCCCCACCGTATAGTAGTACTAGACTATAAAGCTTTACCTTCCAAGCCAGATGAATAAGTCTTGTTTATGCCTGGTAGCCATTGGCCCTGTCCCATTTCTCACTTACACTCATTTTGGACCCTAGCACTCAGCTTTGCATCTTCACATTTAAAGTTAGTGTGTCTCAATAATTTTAAGAGCTAGGGGGAAGTGCCCTTCAACCCTTAAAATGATCCCTTCAGACCGAGCGAGGTCACTTGGAACGAGGTGGCTTCCTGTCAGAGTCTTGGTTTGTTAGTTACTGTTTTTCTTGGTTTTCCATTTGTTGTCCTCTGCTGCCCTCTTGTGTCCTCTTTCCCTTGCTCTGTTTTCTGTCCTGTCTGCACCTGTTTTCAATCCCCTCGTTAGCCCTCTCTTTGTCTCTGTCCCCTTTAAAAGCCTACCTCTTCAGTTCCTGTTTGCTGGATCCTCGTCTAACTTCTGTCTGTGTACCTCGTCTCTCCCTGGCTCCTAGTTTTGGTTTACCCCTGATGTCTCCTTGGTTCAGGTGCGTTTTTTGTTTTCTGTTGGACTTTGATTCCTGTCCCTGGACCTGTGAACCTTAATAAACCGATTTTAATTCACCTCTGCCAACTGGTCTCTGCATTTGGGTCCTCCAAACAAACACCGTTTCATGACACTTGCCAGAACTGATCAAAAAAGAAAATGGCGTCTGGCTGTCGAAAAGAACTGCACAAATGAATGTATATTTTTTAAACTAACCATGCCTTTTAAACAATTATGTTGTGATATCTTAGATGTAAATACAATTGAATTCCGTACCGTTGTGTTGAAACATCAATATTGCAAGAAAAAAGTAATTTTCCTAGGACACAAATCCACTGAGAGCTTTTTAAAAAATTTTATATAAGCGTCAGTTTCTTATAGTGTTTTTTAAACCGGCCCTCCACCCGAAAAAGTGTTCTAGAACATAAACGCAACCTGCTGTGTTAACGAATGAGTCCACAGACCATAAAGAGATTAATAAGAGCTAAATAGCGGCGGAACCGTCTCCAGTTTTGCACATTTCTTGTCTGTTTGTTG